ACTTTCCTACTCAAATCACACTTGCTGCGCGTCTAGTCAGCACGCGCTGTCGCTTAGTCAGCATGTGTTGGCAGGGAATCAATCCCTGCCAAGTTGCTCGAGAGTCAAATTCGCGACCCCATATATTTTCGACTCGATTACAATTGGCAGACCGAGATCTACGGTTTGGTGTTACAAAAAAACTTAATTTCATTTTGCCGTTATATAAACGCCGGCGCTTATAAATTTCCTCAATTATAAGCGCACCCCCTAAAAAACAGTGTTTTATTACAACCCCAGGGGCGCTTCTATCCGGGGTATGACGGTAACCCCCCTCGCGTGTTTTTTGAACTGCTTCGTGATTTCGAATTTTTGGCGACGAGTTGGCGATACAACGACGACCATCGCGAATTTGCGGGACTTATATCGAGCGGTGCAGAAGTACCGACGCCGACGCGCAACAGATCGAACGACTTCGGGTGAATGCGCGCGTCATGGCGAAAATCGCGACAGTAGCAGAATCGATCGTGACTTCGCAGCGGTCGCGAAAATTTCCCCTGGCCCAAAAAATTCGAGCCCCCAACACCTTCGACGGGGAAATCGACGTGCGGAGGTGGTTGGCGGAAATCGAAATATATTTCGTAGCCGTCGGTTGGACATCCCCGACATACGACGGTTCGCGAATTAAATTTGCAGCAACACTTCTGCGCGGACCAGTAATTGATTGGATAAGCGGAAGCGGTTTATTAAACCAAGGCAAAGCGACGTGGCAACAGTTCCGTGAAAGATTACTACAGCGTTTCGAGCCAATAAATGCAGCGTTTATCGCCCGCGACAAAATACATCGTCATCGACAAATCGGGAGCGTCGCGAACTACACGCAACAAATGGAGTGGTTCAATCGCATCCCCGACGTCACGGAAGGCGAAAAAATTAGAGCATTTATCGCGGGGCTGAAAAACGAAACACGGCAGCACGTTGCGGCCGCAAATTGGAGCAGCTACAACGACGTTGTCTCGGCAGCAGAACGTTTCGACGTAATCACGATCGGAACACGACGACTTCATGGATGAGCTAGACGACACTTGGCAACCCCACGTACGCCGACCCGATGGAACTCGATCGAATCGACGCGAAGGCAAGACCAAAGAAGAACAAAGCTAAGTGTTCTTTTTGCGGCAAGCCTGGACATCGAGTCATCGATGGCAACAAAATGAAAACCGCACGTGAATCGTTTTGGGACCCCAGCAGTGGAGCAGATTCAACGCAAAAATTGGAGGATCGTGGAGTGAATTCTTCAACCCACGAACGGAATCTACCAGGGAAAATCGCCGAGGAAAATAAAACCTCCGCAAAACAAGACCCTGATGGACCTGGACAACTCCAAAAAGGCCCTGTAAAAAGTAAGCACTCCTTAAAATTATCATACAAGGATGCTTCACGTGGGATAAACTCCCCGGGGTCACGGCCTTGGTGAAATTTGAAGAGAGGCTCCATAATAAAAATAATGTACCGGTACGACAACTGCAGCAGCTGCGCATGGGGAACCAACAACGGAGCGTGGAAGATCGACCTTCCAACGACGACATCGTCCTCTCTCAGAACAACCAGCCCACGTCGACCAACCGGTCCCCACGGAAGAAGTCGGTGGCGCTGAAGCAGCTCAAGAGGGAGCTGGAGGTCAACATGAAGCTGCGACGACCTCAAACCTCCTCTAAAGATGCATCTGAAACACCAACCCTACGAGGGAATTCTACTACGAGCTCGAGAACCACGTCGTCGACGAAAACAAAAAATCATGGCAATAGGGAAAGGCAGGACCGGCCACTTGCCACCCAAGGAGATACCACGGAGCTATGGGATTTGCCCTACGATCCAATCAATGAGACGATCAACGGGTACAGCGAACAACGTCAACCACTTCTGCTCGAGGTGATCTGCAATGGACGACGCCTCCAAGCACTCGTGGACAGCGGAGCATCCCATTCGGTGTGCGACAAAGTGTCAACAGGACTAGGCAAGAATGGTGCATTGAATGAAACAGTTGGGTACAAGTAGCAAACCCTAGTTGGGGTTGTACCCCATATTGGCTACCCCACTACAGCCTACCAACATATAACACATTACAATTTAACACACCCCCATAGGCAAAGTGGGGGAGAACAAAGGGTCACAAGACCAGTCCAGCAAAGCAACGCAAGCCCAGGGTGGATCACAACGTCACCACACTCCGAGCACAAGCAAAGGCCACAAGGCCAGTTCACATGCAGTGCTAGATATAGTACAAGACAAGCAACACAGTGATCAAAACCTAGCAAGCAAGCAACAAGATATATATAAAGTACAGTACAAAGAAAGTCAAGCAGTAAGCAAATGAGGGAATGTGGACACAAGGCCTAAAGAAGTACAGTGTCGCTGATGATCACTAGGCGGGAGCGCCTTGGTGAAGATATCAGCAGTGTTGGCCTTCGAGTCCACGTACACAAGCCGAAGCTGACCGCGCTGCTGCAGCTCTCGAGCAAGAAAGTAGCGAAGAGCAATGTGCTTCGTCCTGTGCTCCAGTCTGTGCTCCTGACACAAGGCAAGGGCCGCCTTGTTGTCGCCGTACAGAACTGGAGGAGAACTAGGCCGCTCTCCCAAGTCAGTCAGCAGGTAGGTGAGCCAGCGTAACTCCTGTGCAGCCATGGCCGTGGCGTAGATCTCAGCCTCACAACTAGAGCTGAGAACAGAAGAAGAGCGGGTGGACCGCCACGAGACAGAACCAGAGCCAAGGCTGAAGGTGTAACCCTGCGACGACCGCTGCGTAGCCAGGTCGTCCACCCAAGAAGCGTCCGAGTGACCAGTGAGGACAACTCTGTCGCGTCCTCCAAGCACCAGCCCCATGCCTGATGTACTGCACAAGTAACGCAGCACCCTCTTAGCAGCCTCCAAGTGCTCTCGCCGGTGTCTCCCAGGCGCAACGTAACGAGCAAGGATGCTAAGAGGGTACGCGAGGTCAGGTCGCGTGCAAGTCATCAGGTACATGAGGCAGCCTACAAGCTCTGGGTACGGGCCACTCGGCTCTACGGACTCGTCCAAAGGTGGAGCTGAGAGCGAGTGGCTGGTAGCCAGAGGTGTGGCCTGTGGTGAGGAGAACTGGAAGCCGAAGCGCTGAAGGACCTGCTGCACCATGTGTGACTGAGTCAGGGTAATGGTGCGGCGTGCTCTGTCCCGGGTGATCTGCAAGCCAAGGTAGCTACGCAGCTCACCCAGGTCAGTGCAGGTGTGTCTCTTCTGCAGCTCCGACTTCACACAAGCGAGTGCCTCAGTGTCAGCAGTAGCAAAGACCAAGTCGTCGACGTACACGAGGATGTAGAACGGCGGCAGCGACGTGTCTGTGCGCAGGAACAGTGACGGGTCAGCAGTGGAAGGAGCAAACCCAAGGGCCGCAAGTGTAGTCCTCAGTGTGTCGTGCCACTCGCGTGGCGCCTGGCGGAGACCGTAGACTGGCCGCCGGAGGCTCCACTGGGTACCAGGAGGAAACGACCCAGTAAAGCCAGGTGGGCGGCGCAGCCAGATCTCCTCGTGCAGGCTGCCCTGCAAGAACGTTGTGCTGAAGTCAAGAGAGTGAAGCTCGTAGTCACGCTGAGCGGCAACGTGCAGCAGAACCCGAAGAGTGGTCATCTTCGGGGTGGGGGAGAAGGTCTGGAAGAAGTCAACCCCCTGACGCTGACTGAAGCCTCTAGCAACGTAACGAGCCTTGAAGACAGGTGGAGAACCTGGCGGCCGCTTCACCCTGAAAATCCACATGCCATCGACGATGTTCGCCCCAGGAGGGGGAACCTCGTCAACGTAGGTGCCTGTGGACTTCCAGGATGCCATCTCTGCGTCCATGGCTGTCTGCCACTGAGAGGAGTAGGGACCCGAGATCGCCTCTGCGTAAGAGCGCGGAGTGGGGATGTCTAGTGCATCCGGGTCTCCCTCAGGGGCAAGCAGCCAGGCCACGAGATGAGGTACAGCAGCCGCAAGAGAGTCAAGGTCCTCCTGCCTGTCCTCAAGGACGTCCGTGCCAAGAGCACACTCACCCCCGACGGACGGAGGACAGACAGACTCAGACTCAGCGACAAGACTAGCAGCGTAGTCTAGACGACAGGCAGCCGCAAAGTCAACAAGCTCGGCAACCAAAGCTGTCGCAGCAGCAGACTCAAACGAGGGGTCAGTGACAACAGTGGCGAGCAGACGCGTGACAGTAGGGTGCTCAGCACGAAACCGGTCAGACTCAGGGTCCGGAACGTGAGGCAAGGAAGACGCAGGAGGAGACGGCAGAGAAACAGACTGCGGAACAGAGGAAGGACGACGGACGACAAGGTGTGCGGTGGGGACAGGCGGCGAACGCGGACGCGGAACACGACGACCGGTACGACTAGGACGAACAGGCGAGACAGGACGCGACGCAGGCTCACGATGCTCAGCAAGACTACCCGTCTGCTCAGTGTAAGGAGAAGGAGCAGGCAGCGGTGAGCCAGGCTGTAACGGAAGACCAGTAGACGACGGGAGAGTAAGAACCTGACGAAGAACAGAGTCAGGCGGCGGCAGAGACGACGGAGACGGCGGAGCGAAGAACAGTCGTGGCGGCGCAGCTGCACCAGAACCGGCAGCTCCAGCAGCTCCAGTACCCCCAGCAGCTCCAGCACCTCCAGCAGCTCCAGAAGCTCCAGCAGCAGAACCGACACCTCCAGGCCCAGGGTCTCCAACCCCAGTGCCTCCAGCAGCAGCACCCCCAGAACCAGTACCTCCAGTCCCAGGGTCTCCAGCCTCCACGTCTCCAGCAGCAGCACCCCCAGAACCAGTACCTCCAGTCCCAGGGTCTCCAGCCTCCACGTCTCCAGCAGCAGCACCCCCAGAACCAGCACCTCCAGTCCCAGGGTCTCCAGCCTCCACGTCTCCAGCAGCAGCACCCCCAGAACCAGCACCTCCAGTCCCAGGGTCTCCAGCCTCGGTGTCTCCAGCAGCAGCACTGTTAGAAACAATAGGAGTGGGGCCTAGGCTGAGTAGCCTAGGCCCACACTAAGAGTTAGGAGGTTGTGCCCTAGGACTAGGGTTTGTGGTATACGAAGGAGAATTGGAGAAGTGAGAATGGGAATGATGAGTTGAACTAGCAAGCAGCAGGATACATATAGGAAACCCTAAGGGGTTGTACTCACTATTGAGCACCCCACTGCAGGCTAGACAAATAACATAATCTGACATGCCCCCATAGCCAAAGTGGGGTGTAATCAGCACACGTGAGAAGTCACAGCAATAGTTCACAATTATCAGCAAAGCTAGTGGCAGTCACAGGAGGCCAGTGAGGAGGAGGAGGAACTGTGGAGGGAGAGAAGAGAGGAGGCGACGACACACAAGCACCAGGAGCACCAGGCTGCAACCTCCTCCAACTGTCTCACTCCCCCCTACACACACCCCCAGGGTCACCACTCGCTCCTCGCCCACATCACCCCCCTAGCGCCACTCCCTCGTCTCCCACACATCCACCCCCCCGCAGCGGCAGCTGCAGCAGTGGGAGACGGAGGAGAAGGAAGGGGCGACGCACAAGGAGCACCCCCACACCCGCCACCCCCACACCCTCCTGTCCAGGGGACGCAGGGGGGGGGGGGGGGAGGGCCGGGGCGGGAGAGCGCACGAGGGCGCGGGCAACCGCGCGTGCAGAGCAACAGCGCGGAGCAGGTAGGGTAGAGCGCACGAGGGCGCGGGCAACCGCGCGTGCAGAGCAACAGCGCGGAGCAGGTAGGGTAGAGCGCACGAGGGCGCGGGCAACCGCGCGTGCAGAGCAACAGCGCGGAGCAGGTAGGGTAGAGCGCACGAGGGCGCGGGCAACCGCGCGTGCAGAGCAACAGCGCGGAGCAGGTAGGGTAGAGCGCACGAGGGCGCGGGCAACCGCGCGTGCAGAGCAACAGCGCGGAGCAGGTAGGGTAGAGCGCACGAGGGCGCGGGCAACCGCGCGTGCAGAGCAACAGCGCGGAGCAGGTAGGGTAGAGCGCACGAGGGCGCGGGCAACCGCGCGTGCAGAGCAACAGCGCGGAGCAGGTAGGGTAGAGCGCACGAGGGCGCGGGCAACCGCGCGTGCAGAGCAACAGCGCGGAGCAGGTAGGGTAGAGCGCACGAGGGCGCGGGCAACCGCGCGTGCAGAGCAACAGCGCGGAGCAGGTAGGGTAGAGCGCACGAGGGCGCGGGCAACCGCGCGTGCAGAGCAACAGCGCGGAGCAGGTAGGGTAGAGCGCACGAGGGCGCGGGCAACCGCGCGTGCAGAGCAACAGCGCGGAGCAGGTAGGGTAGAGCGCACGAGGGCGCGGGCAACCGCGCGTGCAGAGCAACAGCGCGGAGCAGGTAGGGTAGAGCGCACGAGGGCGCGGGCAACCGCGCGTGCAGAGCAACAGCGCGGAGCAGGTAGGGTAGAGCGCACGAGGGCGCGGGCAACCGCGCGTGCAGAGCAACAGCGCGGAGCAGGTAGGGTAGAGCGCACGAGGGCGCGGGCAACCGCGCGTGCAGAGCAACAGCGCGGAGCAGGTAGGGTAGAGCGCACGAGGGCGCGGGCAACCGCGCGTGCAGAGCAACAGCGCGGAGCAGGTAGGGTAGAGCGCACGAGGGCGCGGGCAACCGCGCGTGCAGAGCAACAGCGCGGAGCAGGTAGGGTAGAGCGCACGAGGGCGCGGGCAACCGCGCGTGCAGAGCAACAGCGCGGAGCAGGTAGGGTAGAGCGCACGAGGGCGCGGGCAACCGCGCGTGCAGAGCAACAGCGCGGAGCAGGTAGGGTAGGGCGCGGGTGAGACTGAGCGCGACTGCACAGGGTCCAGGAGCGGCGTCGCGGGCAGCTGCATGGTCGGCTGCTGCTGGTGCGGTTGCTCCAGGGGCGGCGTCGCGGGCCCAGGGGCGGCTGCACCAGGGGCGGCGGCTCCAGTGGCGGCTGCTCCAGAGGCGGCTGCTGCAGAGGCGGGCGACTCCAGGGGAGGCTGCTGCAGTGGCGGGCGGCTCCAGGGGCGGCTGCTGCTGTGGCGGGCGATTCAGGGGCGGCTTTTGCAGTGGCGGGCGGCTCCAGTGGCGGCTGCTGCTGTGGCGGGCGACTCCAGGGGCGGCTGCTGCAGTGGCGGGCGACTCCAGGGGCGGCTGCTGCAGTGGCGGGCGGCTCCAGGGGCGGCTGCTGCAGTGGCGGGCGGCTCCAGGGGCGACTGTTGCTGTGGCGGGCGACTCCAGGGGCGGCTGCTGCAGTGGCGAGCGGCTCGAGGCGCGCCCTGGCCTGGCGCAGTCCGTACGGGCCGCGCTGGCGCTCGCGGCTGGCCGTGGCGCTGGCGTCCGCGCTGGTGACGAAAGGGGGGGCGCGGGGCGACGAAACGGGGGCCGCGGGCGACGGGAACGGGGGGCCGCGGGCGACGGGAACGGGGGGCCGCGGGCGACGGGAACGGGGGGGCGCGAGCGACGGGAACGGGGGGCCGCGGGCGACGGGAACGGGGGGCCGCGGGCGACGGGAACGGGGGGCCGCGGGCGACGGGAACGGGGGGCCGCGGGCGACGGGAACGGGGGGGCCGCGGGCGACGGGAACGGGGGTCCGCGGGCGACGGGAACGACGCGGGGCGACGCGGGGGCGACGGGGCAGAAAGCCGCCGCGCGCCTCGGGGCGCACGGCGGGCAGAAAACCGCCGCGCGCCTCGGGGCGCACGGCGGGCAGAAAACCGCCGCACGCTTCGAGGGCGCGGCGGGATGAAAAATTAGGGTTTCGCCGCCGCGCACCACGGGGCGCGCGGCGGACACTACGGCAGCGGAAGCAGGTGGTGGGCCCATAGAGGTAAGCGGCAGGAACGTGCTCGCTCTAGATACCATGTTAGAAACAATAGGAGTGGGGCCTAGGCTGAGTAGCCTAGGCCCACACTAAGAGTTAGGAGGTTGTGCCCTAGGACTAGGGTTTGTGGTATACGAAGGAGAATTGGAGAAGTGAGAATGGGAATGATGAGTTGAACTAGCAAGCAGCAGGATACATATAGGAAACCCTAAGGGGTTGTACTCACTATTGAGCACCCCACTGCAGGCTAGACAAATAACATAATCTGACACGTCTCCAGCAGCAGCACCCCCAGAACCAGCACCTCCAGTCCCAGGGTCTCCAGCCTCCACGTCTCCAGCAGCAGCACCCCTAGAACCAGCACCTCCAGTCCCAGGGTCTCCAGCCTCGGTGTCTCCAGCAGCAGCACCTCCAGACGCAGCACCCCCAGCCCCAGCAGCTCCAGTACCTCCAGTACGAGCACCTCCGGGACCAGCGACTCCAGCACCTCCAGTAGAAACAGTACCAGCACCACTCCTAGCGCCAGGGACGGCAGCAGAAGTACCTCCAGCAGTAGAGCCCCGAGCTCCAGTAGCGCGACCCTGACGGCGACCGTACCAGTCGTGCAGCTGCTGCGAGGTGAGTGGCACACGTGGACGAAGGCGGCTACTCCAAGGAGACCGCGCAACAGCAGACTCTGAACCCTCAGCGCCAGCACCCTCAGCAGCTCCAGCGCCACCAGCACCAGGACCTCCAGCAGCTCCAGAACCTCCAGCGCTAGCACCCTCAGCAGCCCCAGAACCACCAGCTCCAGCACCTCCAGACCCCTCACACTCAGGCTCAGCACCTCCAGGCTCTACACCCTCAAGCTCCGCACCCCCAGGCTCCGCACCCCCAGGCTCAGCACCCCCAGACTCAGCACCCCCAGAAGTAGCACCCCGAGCAGGACCACCCCCAGCAGGACCTGAGTCACCAGTGACCTCAACCGGCGCAGGGAAGGGAGGAGGGTCTACCTGAGACACACCTGAGGGAGCAGGACCTGGAGCGGGGAGAGGGTCGACCTGGGGAGCACCTGGAGCGAGGAAGAGCGGCGGGGGAGGGAGAGGGGCAGTGCGGTAGGGGAAGAGACGGTAAAAGGGAACCGACTCGTCGAACGCGACGTCCTGAGACGCAAAGACGCGGCGCGAGGTGGGGTGGTAAAACTGCCAACCAGGCGCGTCAGGGACAAAGCCAAGGAAGACACAGGGAACTGCACGGGCGGAGAGCTTGTCCGCGGTGGTATCGCGGACAAAGGCACGAGAACCCCAGACCCGGAAACGCGACGCATCGCCAACCTCCCCCGTCCACAGCAGTGTGGGCGAGGTCTCCGGCAAGGAGACACGGGGCCAGAGGTTGAGCTGATGCGCGGCGTACCGGACCGCAAACGGCCACAGAAAATGGGAGGCAGCCGCATGGATCATGGAGGTACGAGCGACCTCCATGACCAAGCCAATGCGGCGCTCAGCAATCCCATTCTGCTGCGGAGAGGCCGGAAGCGTGAACGACTGGGTGATGCCGTGCTCCGCACAGTAGGCTGCCAAGAGGTCGGAGGAAAACTCACCACCTCTGTCAGAGTGCAGACGCAGGACGGGAAACTCTGTCCCGAACCGCCGGCGGAGCTGGAGACGAGCAGCGCGGATCCAGGGGATCAAAACAGCAGGGACCTCACCCTTGGTGCGCAAGGGGAAGACCGTGGTGTAACGCGTGTAGTCGTCGACGACCAGCAGGAAGTACCGCTCGTGGTCCTGTCCACGGACGCGGGCTGGGCCCCACACGTCTAGGTGGAGAGTCTGCAAGGGAGCCTCTGTGGGAGGGAACGAGGAGGAGTGAGGAGCGGCGCGCTGCCGCCCCTCGACACAGGGAAGACAGGGAGGAGCAAGCGAGGGTGGGAGGGGAGGGAGAACCCTGGGAAGACCAGAGACAAGGACACGACGGTGCATGCTGCGAAGGCGCTGCACCGAGGGGTGACCAAGGCGGTGGTGCCAAAGGAGGGTCTCGTGCGACAAGGCGCGACACAAGCAGGGGGCCGACAGCTGACCTGACGCAGACGCAGACGCAGCTACCTGAGGGGACTCAGAGGTCAAGGTGTACAGGCTCGAGCCAGGCTCACGGGTGAAAGTGGCCAGGTGTCGGCCCGTCCGAGCACACGTACAGTGAGTCACCCGCTGACCCGCAGGAGTGAACTGGTCAACCCCCCCATCCTGGAGGTCAGCTCCACTCACCAGGTTCGTAGAGAACGAGGGGAGGTAGAGACCTGACAGCAAGCCAGACGGGGCGGCCGGACACGGCAGAACCGTGGAGTAGTGGGCAAGGACTGGACCCCCAGAGGGGTCGGCCAGGGAGACTGCAACCGGCCGACTAAGCGGCGTAAGTGTGGTGCAGTCGCGAAAGAAGGAGCGGGAAGCTCCTGAGTCAAGGGTGAAGGTGTGCAGGGTCGCAGCAGGCGAAGAACCAGAGAGGGCAGACTCACCAGGACCTGGAGCAGCAGCCTCACCAGCACCTAGAGCTGGAGACGCAGTAGCACCTAGAGCAGCAGCCTCACCAGCACCTAGAGCAGGAGACGCAGTAGCACCTAGAGCAGCAGCCTCACCAGTACCTAGAGCAGCAGGCGCTATACCTGGGTCAGGCGGCACACACAGGTAACAGGCACGGTCAGCACTAGTAGGCAATGCATACATGGCAGTGAGAATAGCATCATAGTCAAGAGCAAATATATCTACTCTCTGCCTAAGTAGCTCCACCCAGTCGGGGAGCTCAGCCCCGTCGCCAAACTCGGTACGCCAGGCGTCGCTCAGACGGGCGAAGCAGCGGGACTGCGTGTGACTAGGTGTCCCGCAAGGCTGACCAGTCCGAGCACCAGTGCGAATGACGTAAGAGCAGCGAACAGAACTGAGAGACCCTCTACTCTGAGCGTACCACTCACGAAGCTGCTGGGGCGTGCGAGACTCGCGTGGACGACAGTGTAGCTGCATCTGGCCACCGCCAGTAGCAGCAGCAGCAGTAGTGGCAGCAGTAGCAGCGCGGCCACCCCTACAACCCCAACTAGCGGACCACCCACGCAGCTGCTGGGGCGTGAGGGACTCACGCGGACGTCGCTGGGGCTGCATCTGGCGTCAGGCAGGCAGGCAGGCAGGCAGGCGGCGCGGCAGCGCGCTAGCAAGGCAGGGGCTCACCAGTGGCAGGAAGAGCAGGCTCTCACCGGGCGAGCAGGGCCGGTGCTCGGCGGACGGCGGCAGGGTCGGCGTACGACGGCGGCGATAGCAGGGCCGCGGCAGCGGCTACAGTGAAGGGCCGGATCGAGTCAGCGGCAGGGCAGGGCCGGGTCGTGGCAGCGGCAGGGCAGGGCCGGGTCGTGGCAGCGGCAGGGTGGGGCCGTGGGTGGCGCGAGCCGCTGCCGGGGGCCGTGCACTGGCGGGTAGGGCGCGGCGCGGGCCGCGCGGACGGCGCGCAGCGCGCTGCGGGCCGCGGACGCGCCGCGCAGGCGTTGGGCGAGCTGCGCGGGGCAGCGGCGGGCCGCGCGCGCGTCGCGCGGGCTCGGGACGGGCTGCGCAGGGCAGCTGCGGGCCGCGCGCGCATCGAGCGGGCTCGGGACGGGCTGCGCGGCAGGCAGCGCGACGGCGGGCAGCGCGGCAGGCAGTGCGACGGGCGGGCAGCGCGGCGGGCAGCGCGGCGGGCAGGCAGCGCGGCGTGAAGGGCGACGGGCGGGCAGCGCGGCGAGCGGGCAGCGCAGCGGGCGGGCAGCGCGGCGTGCAGCGCGACGGGCGGGCAGCGCGGCGAGCGGGCAGCGCAGCGGGCTGCGCGACTGGCGGGCGACGCGGCAGGCAGCGCGACGGTGGGCAGCGCGGCGGGCAGCGCGGCGGGCAGCGCAAGGGGCAGGCAGCGCGGGCGCACGAGGGCGCTAACGAGGGGCGCACGAGGGCGCTAACTGGGGCGCGTGAAGGCGCTAACGAGGGGCGCGCGAGGGCGCAGCGAGGGCGCGCGAGGGCGCTAACGAGGGCGCGCGAGGGCGCTAACGAGGGCGCACGAGGGCGCAGCTAGGCTAGGGCACGGGGTAGCGTGGTAACCGCATGCGAGCGGTGGTGGGCCCTAAAAAAACGGTCGGTAGGTCCTAGGGACCTCCTGCTCTGATAGCATGTCAACAAGACTAGGCAAGAATGGTGCATTGAATGAAACAGTTGGGTACAAGTAGCAAACCCTAGTTGGGGTTGTACCCCATATTGGCTACCCCACTACAGCCTACCAACATATACAATTTAACACAAAGCGGTCCTCAAACGTATCAACAAAGAGTACAAGCCTTCCAGCTTTACAGCTACGATGGTTGACGGAAGTAAGTTACAAGTCTACGGCGAAGAAGAGCTTCTCCTACAGATGGGTCCTCTTCGCTGGAAACCGACCCTACCCGTCACCAACATCAAAGGGCTAGACTTGATCCTTGGGAGAGACTTTCTGAAGAAGTTCAACCCCGAGATCAACTGGGTCACCCGCACGGCGAGCATCTACAATCAAGACAGAAGAGTTCCACTTCCGAGTTGGAGCAACACGGGAGATATTCCGGAGGAGACTCTCGCACGCTTCGAGAAGGACGTGAAGCGAACCATGACAGGGTTCGCCGCATTGGTTACAGACGAGGATGAAGCAGAGAAGAAAGCACCTGAGCTTCCACTTGCTATCGAGAAACTTCTGGAGGAGTTCAAAGACGTTCTTCCTGACGACCTTCCAGACCAGTTGCCGCCATACCGAACCCACCAGCACGAGATCGTCGAAGAACCTGGTTCGAAACCGACCTTCCGAGCACCATATCGACTCAGTCCTACCGAATTGGCTGACATGAAGAAGCAGATCGAGTACCTCCTGGACAAGGGACTCATTCGACCATCAACATCACCATACGGTGCACCAGTGCTCTTCACGCCAAAACCTGACGGAAGCTTACGCATGTGCATCGACTACCGAGCTCTCAACAAGGAGACGATTAAAAATAAGTATCCCATTCCTCGGATCGATGACCTGCTTGACTAGCTTCGGGGAGCTACTGTGTTCTCAAAACTCGATTTGAGATCAGGATACTGGCAGATCCGAATGGCGGACAATTCAATCCACAAGACGGCGTTTCGGACACGATACGGATCCTACGAGTACCTCGTCATGCCGTTCGGTCTCACCAACGCACCCGCTACATTCCAGGCCGAAATGAACCATATTCTCAGGCCTCTACTCGACGAATGCGTGGTGGTGTACCTGGAGGACATCGTGATCTACTCGAGGGACATGAAGCAGCATATGGAACACCTACGACGCATCTTCGAAATACTTCGACGGGAGAAGTTCTATGTCAAGCTATCCAAGAGTGAGTTTGCCTTGAAGAAAGTTCAATTTCTTGGACATATGGTGAGCGCTCAAGGAGTGCATGTCAACCCAAAGTAGATCGAAGCCGTGCGTACGTGGAAGACGCCAGAGAACGTTAAGGAACTTCAACAATTCCTTGGCTTCGCGAACTACTACAACCGGTTCGTGCCTCACTATGCGAAGATTGCTACACCTCTCACCAATCTACTGAAGAAGAATGTACCGTTCAGGTGGGAGGATGTGCACCAGCAGGCCATGGAGCAGTTGAAAACCGCACTCACGTCCGCACCCGTCCTGATCCTGCCAGATCCAGAAAAAGACTACGTCATCGAAGCTGATGCTAGCGACCAAGCAGTTGGAGCAGTCCTGATGCAAGACCAAGGGAAAGGGCTACAACCAATTGCTTACCTGAGCAAGAAATTGCATGGGCCAGAACTCAACTACCCAATTCACGATAAAGAGGCCTTAGCGGTCATCACTGCGTTCAAGGCATGGCGATGCTACATCGAAGGAAGGAAGACCACACACCGACCACTGTAGTCTGAAGTACCTAAAGATGCAACCTACTCTCTCCAGACGACAGGTCAGGTGGATCGACTTCCTCGAGACACACTTCGACTACGACATCGTGTACAAGCCGGGACACAAGAATAAGGCAGACGCACTGAGCCGGCCTGGACACGTTGCCGCCATACAGGTTGAGGGGATGAATCCGCTACTTAAGGGACTCTTTTCACACGGGTACACTATCGACCCCGAAAATTCCCTTGGCAGAGAAGAAGAAATTGCTCCAATGGGACCACGACATCGCACTACGCAAAGGATCAACAAAGATATGGGTACCCAACTACCCACCTCTTCGGCAGTTGCTTCTCGAGGAGTTCCACGATGTGCTCTACGCTGGACACTTCGGGAGTAACAAGACCCTTGCTGGGATTGCAAAAGTCTACTACTGGCCTCACATGGCAGATGACGTGCAAAAGTTTGTCACATTGTGTGACACGTGCCAACGGATGAAGAGCAGTAAGCAGAAGAAAGCAGGACTTCTTCAGCCTCTGCCCGTCCCGGAACAGCCTTGGCAAGTGGTGAGTTTGGACTTCATCACTGGGTTACCACCTACCAAAGCGGGGCATGACGCCATCCTGGTCGTCATCGACAAATTCTCAAAGATGGGGCACTTCATTCCGACACATACAACCGCACGCACGGAGGAAACGGCACAGCTGTTCGTCAAGCACATCATCTCACAGCACGGGATCCCAACAACGCTCATATCCGACAGGGACCCCAAGTTCACTAGCAAGTTTTGGAAAGAGCTCATGTTGCTCATGGGGACACGCCTGGCGATGTCATCTGCATATCATCCCCAGACCGATGGGCAGACAGAGCGCTTGAACCAGATTGTGGAACAACTCTTGCGCGCAGCGTGCAAGGACGACGTTAGCAAGTGGGACTTGCACTTGCCGGTGTTGGAGTTCGCCTACAACAATGCGAAGCATGCCGCAACAGGAGAGACTCCATTCTTCCTCTGTTACGGTCGACATCCGCTAACTCCACAGCAGCCAACAGTACCTGCTCTCAGAATAACTAGCCAAGAATGAATGAACTAGCAGAAGTTTGGGTACAAATATGAAACCCTAGTTGGGGTTGTACCCCATATTGGCTACCCCACTACAGCCTACAAGCATAATACAGTTTAACACACCCCCATAGGCAAAGTGGGGGAGAACAAAGGGTCACAAGACCAGTCCAGCAAAGCAAAGCAAAGCCCAGGGTGGATCACAACGTCACCACACTCCGAGCACAAGTAAAGGCCACAAGGCCAGTTCACATGCAGTGCTAGATATAGTACAAGACAAGCAACACAGTGATCAAAACCTAGCAAGCAAGCAACAAGATATATATAAAGTACAGTACAAAGAATGTCAAGCAGTGAGCAAGTGAGGAAACATGGACACAAGGCCTAAAGAAGTACAGTGCCGCTGATGATCACTAGGCGGGAGCGCCTTGGTGAAGATATCAGCAGTGTTGGCCTTCGAGTCCACGTACACAAGCCGAAGCTGACCGCGCTGCTGAAGCTCTCGAGCAAGAAAGTAGCGAAGAGCAATGTGCTTCGTCCTGTGCTCCAGTCTGTGCTCCTGACACAAGGCAAGAGCCGCCTTGTTGTCACCGTACAGAACTGGAGGAGAACTAGGCCGCTCTCCCAAGTCAGTCAGCAGGTAGGTGAGCCAGCGTAACTCCTGTGCAGCCATGGCTGTGGCGTAGATCTCAGCCTCACAACTAGAGCCGAGAACAGAGGAAGAGCGGGTGGACCGCCACGAGACAGAACCAGAGCCAAGGCTGAAGGTGTAACCCTGTGACGACCGCTGCGTAGCCAGGTCGTCCACCCAAGAAGCGTCCGAGTGACCAGTGAGGACAACTCTGTCGCGTCCTCCAAGCACCAGCCCCATGCCTGATGTACTGCACAAGTAACGCAGCACCCTCTTAGCAGCCTCCCAGTGCTCTCGCCTGTGTCTCCCAGGCGCAACGTAACGAGCAAGGATGCTAAGAGGGTACGCGAGGTCAGGTCGCGTGCAAGTCATCAGGTACATGAGGCAGCCTACAAGCTCTGGGTACGGGCCACTCGGCTCTACGGACTCGTCCGAAGGTGGAGCTGAGAGCGAGTGGCTGGTAGCCAGAGGTGTGGCCTGTGGTGAGGAGAACTGGAAGCCGAAGCGCTGAAGGACCTGCTGCACCATGTGTGACTGAGTCAGGGTGATGGTGCGGCGAGCTCTGTCCCGGGTGATCTGCAAGCCAAGGTAGCTACGTAGTTCACCCAGGTCAGTGCAGGTGTGAATCTTCTGCAGCTCCGACTTCACACGAGCGAGTGCCTCAGTGTCAGCAGTAGCAAAGACCAAGTCGTCGACGTACACGAGAATGTAGAACGGCGGCAGCGACGTGTCTGTGCGCAGAAACAGCGACGGGTCAGCAGTAGACGGCGCGAACCCAAGAGCCGCAAGTGTAGTCCTCAGTGTGTCGTGCCACTCACGTGGCGCCTGGCGGAGACCGTAGACTGGCCGGCGGAGACTCCACTGGGTACCAGGGGGAAAAGACCCAGTAAAACCAGGTGGGCGGCGCAGCCAGATCTCCTCGTGCAGGCTGCCCTGCAGGAACGCTGTGCTGAAGTCAAGAGAGTGAAGCTCGTAGTCACGCTGAGCAGCAACGTGCAGCAGAACCCGAAGAGTGGTCATCTTCGGGGTGGGGGAGAAGGTCTGGAAGAAGTCGACCCCCTGACGCTGACTGAAGCCTCTAGCAATGTAACGAGCCTTGAAGACAGGCGGAGAACCTGGCGGCCGCTTCACCCTGAAAATCCACATGCCATCGACGATGTTCGCCCCAGGAGGGGGAACGTCGTCGACGTAGGTGCTTGTGGACTTCCAGGATGCCATCTCTGCGTCCATGGCTGTCTGCCACTGAGAGGAGTAGGGACCCGAGATCGCCTCTGCGTAAGTGCGCGGAGTGGGGATGTCTAGTGCATCCGGGTCTCCCTCAGGGGCAAGCAACCAGGCCACGAGATGAGGTACAGCAGCCGCAAGAGAGTCAAAGTCCTCCTGCCTGTCCTCAAGGACGTCCGTGCCAAGAGCACACTCACCCCCGACGGACGGAGGACAGACAGACGCAGACTCAGGCTCAGCAACAAGGCTAGCAGCGTAGTCTAGACGACAGGCAGCAGCAAAGTCAACCAACTCAGCGACCAGAGCAGACGCAGCCGAGGACTCAAAGGTAGGGTCAGTGACAACAGTAGCTAGGAGACGCGTGACTGTAGGGTGCTCAGCGCGATACCGGTCAGACTCAGGGTCCGGAACGGCAGGCAAAGAGGACGCAGGAGGAGACGGTAGAGGGACACGCCGAGGAGCAGTAGAGGGACGCAGAGTCATGTAGTGAGTGCCTGGGACAGGAGGAGGACGCTCACGACGGACACGACTACCAGTGCGAGCAGGACGAACAGGCGACGCAGGACGAGACTCAGGCTCACGACGCTCTGTAAGACCTCCTGTGGGACCAGTGTAAGGAGAGGGAGCAAGGAGAGGCGAGGCAGGCGGTAACTGTGACTGCGGCTGGACAGGCGGAGGACACTCTACGGAGGGAGGAGGACAAGGAGGAGGAGCCTGCCCAAGAACCTGCTGAAGGAGCGGTACGAAGTACGGTCGCGGCCGCGCAGCGTCTCCAGAAGCAGAAGAGACTCCAGCGGCCGGGTCCTCAGTACCAGCAGGAGCTCCAACGTCCGGGTCCCCAGCACCAGCAGCAGCGCCACCGCTCGGGTCCTCAGCTCCAGCAGCAGCTCCACCAGGCGGGTCCGCAGCACCAGCAGCAGCGCCACCCCCAGAGTCGGCAGCTCCAACTCCGCTAGCACCGCCAGCGCCAGAGTCCCCAGCTCCAGCAGCTCCAGTCGCAGTGCTCCCAGAACAACCAGTCCCGGCAGCTCCAGTACCCCCAGGACGAGCAGCCCCAGCACCCCCAACTCCAGCCGAGCCACTAGGACGGCGAAAGCGCCGGACGTACCAGTCACGAAGCTGCTGCGGTGTGAGAGACTGCTCAGCACCCCGAACCGGAGCACCCCCAGACGCAGTAACCCGAGGCTCCGTAGGCTCAGTAGCAGCACCCCCAGGCTCAGCACCCGCAGGCTCAGTACCCGCAGGCTCAGCACCCCCAGACTCCGCACACGCAGGCTCAGCACCCCCAGTCGCAGCACCCCCAGGCTCAGCACCCCCAGGCGGCAAACTCTCAGGCACAGTACCCTCAGCTCCAGTACCCGCAGTCCCAGCACTCCCAGGCCCAGCACCCGCAGGCTCAGCACCCCCAGGCTCAGCACTCCCAGCAGTACCACCTGCAGCAGCACCTGAGTCACCTGTGACCTCGACAGGCTCAGCGACGGGAGGAGGGTCTACCTGAGAGACACCTGAAGGAGCAGGACCCTGAGGGGGAAGGGGGTCTACCGGAGGGGGACCAGGAGCAAGGAAAAGCGGCGGGGGAGGGAGAGGGGCAGTGCGGTAGGGGAAGAGACGGTAAAAAGGGACCGACTCGTCAAAGGTGACATC